CCCACATGCTTATCATGCTCATCATCCTCACCATACCGGGCTTCAGACAGCATCTCAATCTTCATACATAGGCTCGAATGGACAGACATTGCCACCAGGTTCTCTCTATGCCGTGGCTTCTGGAAACTCAGCTACTGCTGCTGAAGCCCTTGGGCCGAGCCTTAATCAACAGTCCGGTATTGTAGTACAAGCTACATCTGGCCAGGCCCCAAGGATACAAAATGGGCTCCCCAGCCCCTCTCCTAACAAGCGACCTGGCCGGCGTGCTATGACTCCAGAGGAAGCTAAACAGCGGCGGCTACGCAACCTCTTCAATGCCGTATATAATTATCAAGAGGTTCGCCTTGTGTATTTGTAAATGCATACTTTTACGCACAAGTGAATTTTCATTGAGCTTTTGTATATACCACTATTTTATTGGCTGATTTATTACTAGCATTATTCCTTTTTATATTCTTAACACTACGTGCTGATTTCACCTAGAAGTTTTCTTTTGTTTTTGTCTTATCCTGGACTCTTAAACAGAGTAAAGAAGGATTACAAAAGAGTCAGATTTCGGATCATGGTAAGACTGACAGATTCTATGGTCCTTACGGATTCTTTTTTGATTGAAAATGGTAAAACTATTCAAAAGGGCACATTAAATAGAAGACAAATAGTAGTAATTAAGATTGAAGATTAGATTGGCACTAGACTAATGTAATAAACGCAGGGCGAATCGAAAATTTCCAATTTACAGATCCACCAGAGTTATCTTGATGGCTACCAATGGGGCACTGAGTTGTGTCCATGTAAGAGATTTTCATAAGCTAGATTACTTATGCAAACAAGCCACACAACTATCTCTGAGGAGTCTTAGCTTCCTGCCAGATTCATTTTCATGTTGATATCGCATAAATTCGGTTTTTGGCGTGGTTAGTTAATTAATCACCTATTTGTTCAAATTTTGCTTCTGCCTTAAGTTATCTGAAAGCTTTCTGAAGTGACCAATAACAGATTATTGTATATATCCACCCTTTTTCTTATTTATTACTTTTAT